CCAGCAATGAACTGTCCAGGGTGAAGATGGGAAAACACTCACATTTGGAAGAGTAGAGAGAGCTGGGGCAGGATTCTGAGGTGAATCCCATAAAGAGTGCTGAATACTGCAAAGAGCCACTGGGTGAGTAGGGATCATGAAGATATGACATTTGAAGCTACAAAGGCTTTTAGCCAATATGGCTTCATCACAGTAGTGGTAGAGGAGAGCAAACAGCAAGGGGTGGAGGAGCCCAGGGATGTGGTGGGGAACTTAAGGCACTTGGAATACATCTATAATAATAAAAGCATAATATGCTAATTAGGCCAGACAGCCGAATGCCCTTCCAGACGACCTTCCAGCGAAGCCAGGGCTGCGAGGGCTCAGGCAAGCTGCCATGGCTGCAAGGGCCGAGCCCCTTGCATGAATTTCATGCATTGGGTCTCTAGTATATCTCTATATATAAAAGACCAAGCGACCATTACGACTGTTACAACCCGTCAACTAGTCACTATGATGTGCACTGACCACCAGGGGGCAGCGGGCAGTAAGGAGCGAGGGGTCCCGGACTGCGAGAGCCCTGGACTGCAAAAAGGATGTCTGCCTGTCAGCTTAGGCATGGCCTAAGCTGGCAGGCGGACATTCCCCAAGGGGTCCCGGACTGCAAGAAGGTGCAGGCCAGGCTGAGGGACTCCCCCTCATATATATATATATATATATATATATATATATATATATATATATATATAGTCTTGAGCAGCAGTCACCAACCAGTTGGCGACCACTGGTTGGCGACCACTGCTCCAAAGGTTTCCTTAAACTAGTGGTCACCAACCTTTCGGACCTCATGGACCACCAGTGGCCCACGGACCACTGGTTGGTGACCGCTGATCTTGAGGATTATATGCAGAAGCCATGAATGGAGAGCACCAGGCAATAGGGTCATGCAAATATTTCCAGCTGCACTTGGCAGCTCAGGCCCTGAAGCAAATAGAAATGGACAGTGGAGCCAGCGTTGGCAGTGAGGAACAGGGGCAGTGGAGAGGGGCATAAGGGCACAAAGGACTGTGGGCCCTTCTGGACAGAAGAGCTGCCCCTGCTGGCATGCCAGCAAAGATCTTTTAAAATCTCAAATATTTGGAGGATCCATTCGGAATTTTTAAACAAAAACAAAGCCAGGGTTTACCTTTGCCTTACCTTCCTCTTTTGGAAGAATGTGATAAACAGATAACTAATGATAACAAATTTAATTAAAAAAGAATGAACTTTTACAATACATCAGAGGCACCCTGGAACTGAAACACTAAATACTAGTTACTCCTCTTTACTCTTAAAGCTGACTCCCCCAAAACTCCTATTTAGCAAATACTTTGGGAGACTGTGTACAGAATAGCCATAAAAGAGCATTTTTATTTCTATTTCATTATTCAGACAGGCTGCCATCCCAAGTCGATAAAAGCCAGGTTTTACTGGGATGTAACATAGCAACTTGCCTGTTTTCAAAGCACTTTCTGATTTCTCACTCTTTTTAGATCATCAGCAGGAATACATGAGTACCCCCATTTTGCAGTGGGGACACTAAGGCCAAGAGAGGTGAAGGCACATGTCTGAGGTCACCCAGTTCTCTTGCCTCCAAGTCCAAGGTTCACCCCTGGCCATTCTCCTGATATGTGACACTCCTGGGCATCCCACGCCTTCCTCCCCACTTCTCATCTCTGACCTTGCAGATGGCACCAATGGCACTACTCCTTAGCAACACAGATCTGGAGCTTGCTGGCCCTGGGCTAGCTTGGTTCTCATGGGAGGCAGTCCTTTCTGTAAAACACCCCAAAGAAGCCCTCAACCACCAGGCCTGTGAGCTCACTCTCCCAGCCTACGTCACTCTCGCCTCCGGATCCCTGCCTCACCAGGATCACAAGGACACATGCAACTATTGCAGGAAATGTAGGGTTTTCTTGTAAAAAATTCAAGCAGCTAATATTTATTGAGCACCTACTGGTTGCCAAGGACTCTGCTAGGACATTGACATGTTCCCTTCTCACCACCACTCAGCAAAAATTGGTATTCTCATCCCCATTTTACAGACGTGGATACTGAGGTTCAGAAAGCTAAGTGACTTGCCTAAGGTCAATCAGCTGGTTGTTGAGGCAGTATTCACTGCTCAGGTCTGTTAGACTCCAGGTCCCACTTTATTTTTAATCCACCTCACTGCCTTGGCTCGCCACTCTACAGGGGCCGAGAGACCCACGCCAAAGTGGAAAAAGAAAAGCGAGCCTTTCATTGCTGTTGCCTGGCTCCCACAAGACTCGGGGGAGCCTAATCCACGGTGTTTACCCCAACCAACAGCCCCATGAGCTGGGATCCTGGGAGGCTCACAAGAGTCAAAGGGCTCCCCGGCAGGTTTGTCCTGGCAGCTGGCCAGCAGACTTGTGCTAACACAGCAGCAGGCACAGGAAAGGCTCCAGAGAGAATGGAAAAGCACCAGACACTGGGCCACTGAGGGGAGAGAAGTGATTCCTGCCGTGTTCAGATGAGATGACGCTGCCACCACCATCACTGGGCCGGGAAGGGACCCCAAGGCAGGGCAAGCGAAAAGCCCCAAGCACATCCACTTACTGTAGTGTTTCAGCGAATAGGACTTCGGGGCCAGTCCGAGAGGGTCACATGGCTCCAAAGTGAACCAGCAGGCATGGAAGAAAACCAGCAACCCTGGCCTGCCTGCCTTTGCTCGCACACACGCCCACCCTGCTACCGCCTGTCCCCTGGCATGCAAGACAGCACGCGTGATCCTATAGCAGCACAGCGGCAGCAGACCGCAGCCAGCCCGTGGGAAAGAAAGCTAACCCAGAATATTAATAGACTTGCCGGAGGCGAAACTTAGTGAGGGCAAGCCCTAGGAAATAAAATTATTTAAAAGGGGGCACAATTAAAGTGAGCCTGGAAGAAGGGAGCAACTTGGATTTCCACAGGGAGGGCTTCCTCGGCCCGGCGCTGGGAGGAGGTGCGCCAGCAGTGGCAGGGTTATTCTAGAAAATCCAAAAATATCTTCGTCTATGGGAAAAAAATGTTGGTGTTTCTGTAGCTCTTCTGTCTGCTGATGTTTTGCTTAGGCTGATATTACACTACATATGCGCAGGATGATCAAAACTGTTTCAAGGGAAACCACTCCTGGGATCTAATATTTGCTACAAATTCTTAGGCTGCCCAAATAATTAACTGTTAACTATCAATTATTAATTTACTCATTATTGTCAATAATTTAATGACTAATTATTGATTATGCTCAGGTCTGCCACAGGGGGCAACTCATTAATTAAAAGGAGAGGGGCAGTTTGAGAAGTTGAAAACCAGCAGCTATTGAGATCAAATTAACCCCATGGGTATGTCAGCCTGCTTAGAACTTTTTAGAAAATGAACTGTCATCGGTTAATCAGAAGGTTACACACACACACACAAATCTGAATTTCTACCATTTTTTAGAAAACCTGAAAAATCTGGTATCACTGGGCAAGCAGCACAAATTGGAAGATGCTGAGTAGCGACTGCCCCCTTCAGGCAGGCCCCGTGCTTCCCAGCTCCTGGCCTGGCGCACTCATTTAAGCCACATAACTGACCCCTGTAGGCACCCTGGTTTGTTACTCCTAGTTAAAGCCCAGGGAAGGGATCAGACTTGGTCATGCTCAGGACTGCCACAGGGGGGCAGCACCGGTCTGTCAATGAGGCCTGTAACCAAATTGAGCTTGGCATATCCTTTGGTAACCAGAAATCCCATCCTTACTTGGGTAGCAGACACTCCTCCATATTCCCGATCAGATTTGTTCCCTGAGAAGTTAACAGCAGCTCATGTCAACATTCCCACTAGGCCTGGGCAACCTGACTTGTTCTCTCCTCTCTGGCCACCACTTTCCACATCCTCCCAGCTCCTCTCATTCCACAGCTGGTTTTCCCACCTATTCAGGAATTCTTCCTTCACCTGCTAACACCACCAGGCCTCAGATCCTTCCCCCTTTTAAAGGCAGTTTGTTCTTCATCAAATGGGCATCACCTGCCTTTGCTCACTTAGGGTAAACAGTTGACCACACAAGGCAAGAGGTTATTGTGCCTCGTCCTGCCCTCTGCTCTCACCCCCTTCCAACCGCACCAGCAGCATCTTTTTTATTTAACACTCACCCGAGGGTGTTTTTAATGATTTCAGAGAGAAAGGGAGAGAAAAAACATCAGCGTGAGAGAGACATCAATCGGCCGCCTCCTTTGTGTGGATCAAACCCAAAACCTGGATATATGCCTTGACTGGGAATCGAAACTATGACCTTTCCGTGTATAGAACGATGCTCCAACCCACTGAGCCACACCAGCCAGGGCCCTGCGGCATCTTAAGTGGTAGCTTTTAGTATGATCTTCTACGGCTCTTTAGGAAAGACATTTTATATGATGTCTTGAGATCCTTAAAACTGTTCATCCCATTTCATCCAGAATGCCATTTACTATTCCTACCATTTAACCCAAAATTCAGGAAAAGCCTTATATATTCATTGCACTATTTATACTGAACAACCAGAAACAACCTAAATGTCCTCCGGCAATAGGGAAATTATTAAAAACATAACAAAATGTTAGTTTTTCAGTTGTATTAGAGCCCAGGGGAGCTGTACTAGAGCCCTTTTTAAAAATCCCTACCAAATGTTCTTTTAAGTACATCGATTATTTTTATGGGGAAAAGTGTGTGTGTGGAATTGGAAAATTTGATAGCAACTGTTAAGCACCCTGGTGTGTTCTAATTTAGATGCTGAAAGGTCCAATAGCCTCTTATTACCATGATAGAAAAGCCCCTGGGAACCTGGGCCTCCAGGACTCACCACCTCCAGGACCCAGGGCAACCACACTAGTAAAACAAAGCCTCCAGGACACAGTAGTCCTTAGTTAAAGGCCAATGTTATCCTATCCTGAAATCCTGAAATGCCTGCCCTTGCATAACTCCTGAGGAGACCACACACACCATTTGGAAGATAGAGTTAGATCAGTATGGTTCTCAGATGCCACTTTAATCAAGTTTTGCACTATACAGTGATGGGGGGGGATGCAAGATGGTGAAGATTTTCAAGCAGATTCACCTACCCCAAGGTGAACAGCCTTGGGCTGCCAAGAACAGCCCTTCCCCAGCGAGTCCCCCCCTTTCCTGAGCTGGTAGGACAGGGTTTCAGCAAGAGTGAGCACAAAGGACTGGGCAAACGAGGGAAGGAACCAGGTAGATTTCTGAAATCTTCCCATGCAAATGAGAACTAGACATGAGGTATCTCTCTTAAGGCAACACCCCAATCCCATGCACTTCAGCTTGAGGCCAAACTGCCTCCCTGCAGGGACCGACAGCCCAGGTTCATCTCATAACACTACTCCCAGCAGTGCGCCCAGAAGCCTGGGCAGTTGTGCCCACCATACAACAGATGCAGCCTGCAGGCCAGAACCCTCCAGGGCCTTCCTCTTCACTGGCCCCTCAGCTTCTAGTGTGTCCGTGTGCCTGGCTGTAGAAGAGCACCCAGTATGTGTGTGGCCGGGTGGTGCCCGAGGGGCCAGAATAAGCAACAACGCAAATCAGATGTGGATTCTGGAGCTGGGTCAACATGGTGGCAGGACCAGTCACGGCCTATGGAAGGACCCATATGGCCCTGTGTCCTCCACTAATTCTTCTCCGGGCGGTTTCTGTTCAGGACAGCTTTAGGGGCAAATTCCAGCTTGTCCTTCAGGCTCACCACCTGGGTGTGGTCCTTGCCTAGCAGCTCATCCAACTTTCGGTCCTCCCGACGCTCTGAGATGCTCTTCTCCTCCTCCACGGGCTGGGGATCTTTTCCCCGGATGAACCATTCCAGGTGGTAGCCCACAGCCCCGACCACGAAGGCCACAGGAAACGTGACATAGGGAGCATAGGTACGCACCACGGTCCAAAACACGGGCCACATGACATCTGCAGAAGAGCACAAGGCAGCATTAGGGAGACACCAGCTGCCCCTCCCCACCAAACGGGCCACTACCAAGCTCCCCACTCACCAGGCAGCCGGGCACCATTTACTGAGCATCCACCCCTTGCAGAGAAAAGCAAGAGAGAACCCTGCTTTATGCAACAGTTGGGTCCCTGAAACAATCCAGAAATTTTTGGAAGATTCAACTGTTAGGGAAGGGGACAAGACTCTCCATTTTATGACCTATACTTTTTGACAGTTATGTAACCATGTACAGCAGAGTTCCCCATGAGGGGACCTCTGGGCTTACCGAATAAAGCTTTAAGTCTTTTTTTTCTTTTTTAAAAAAATATATTTATTGATTTTTTACAGAGAGGAAGGGAGAGGGATAGAGAGTTAGAAACATCGCTAAGAGAGAAACATCAATCAGCTGCCTCCTGCACACCCCCCTATTGGGGATGTGCCCGCAACCAATGTACATGCCCTTGGCCGGAATCAAACCTGGGACCCTTCAGTCCGCAGGCAGATGCTCTATCCACTGAGCCAAACCGGTTAGGGCTATTTTTTCTTTTATGAGACTGACCTGCTGCCTACTGCACTAAGAGGGCACCTTTCTTTTTTTATAAAAAATATATTTTTATTGATTTCAGAGAGGAAGGGAAGGGGAGAGAGAGAGAAACATCAATGATGAGAGAGAATCACTGACAGGCTGCCTCCTGCACGCCCCACACCGGGGATTAAGAGGGCAACCGGGCATGGGCCTGGACCGGGAATCGAAAAGTGACCTCCTGGTTCGCAGGTAGATGCTCAACCACTGAGCTACGCCGGCCGGGCTTTAAGCCTTATCTTGACCATAGGCCTTCCCTCCATAGTGTGCCAACCTCTCAAGAATGGGAACGAAGTCTTTCCCTCAAGTGCCCCAACCTGGCCTAGGAACAAATCTGTAACCCAGGTACCTGCCCTTGACCGGGAATCGAACCTGAGACTTTTTGGTGCGCGGGCTGATGCTCTACCACTGAGCCAGTCCCGCCAGGGCAAGTTCTCTCTTTATAAGCAAACACTCTCCCTAAACAGCAACCCTCCATTCAGATTCCCAATTTTTCTTAAAACGTATCAAGGATGAATCCACAAGTATTACCTGTCACATGCTGCACCAGGTCTCCCTGTCCTCCTACTCGCATTCTAACCACTTTCAAATAAGTCAATGAATTCATTTACTTAACACTTACAACCATTTCCGCTGGGTACACCTTGTGCTGGCGCACCCCACTTGTCTGCCTCAAGGCACTTTAAGCACCAAGAGGGCAAAGACCATAATGTCTGTGGCCCACTGTGCCCTATCCAACCCCCAACACCTCCCTCCCTTGCCCGGCCTGGCATAAAATGCTCCAACAAGTTTGTTGAGTGAATGAATGAAAGCACGAGCAACACACTAATGTAAAACCACAGCAGTCATCTACCCACCCACCCATCCGCCCGCCCGCCCGCCGGCCCGCCCTTCAAAAGGTAGCAGGAAGACAGCAGGTGCCTCTGAGGATTACGAGACTCGAACCAGCCGCCCCCCGGGGTAACAATACGAATGAGGCCAAGGGTCTCGCACACACGGTGACGCGTATTTCCAGCTCGGCGTGGAGGGGCCTGCACGCCCGGTAGAGGTCAACTGGTTGCCGGCAAACCGGCCCTTGTGCCGGGGCCCCGGAGGCCCGATGAGGTCCAAGCCCGAAGTCCGAGATTCGAGAGCTGCTAACAGGGCAGAGGATACCTAACGGGATTGAAGATTAACCCTGACCCTGACTCGAGCCCGGGCCAGGGGTGGGGGCGCAGGTGAGGTCAGGGTCCAAGTATCCAGCCGTGTCCCTCCGCTGGGCGCCCGGCCCCGGCCCCTATCCCACCACGATCACGGCCTCGTCGGCGGCGCCCGTCCTCACCCACGTGCCCGAGACCGGGAGGCCCTGGCCCCGAGGGCCAGCGGGGCGCCCAGACTCGACCTCCAACCCCCTGTTGGAAGGAGAGCCGCCAGGCCCGGCCGGGGCCACAGCGGACACTCGGGATCACCTGTCCGGTAGCTCAGAGGTCAAAGTCAGGAGCCGTCGCCAAGACACGGGCGGCCGGGCAACCGCCCCCGGGAAGGGAACTGCCGGCAGGGCCCGCGTGCTCACCCGAGCCACGGCGTCCGGCCCCCGCCCTCCGCCTGCTCGCCCGCCGCCGCCGCCGCCGCCCCTCCCAGCGGCCCGCGGGGCCTCGCCGGGACCCCGCCCACCGAACCCCAGCTCTCTCGGAGCGCAGGGATTGGCTGAGCTCCAGTCAAAGGAGCGGAGCAAGCGAGGCGCCCGCAAGGGAGCCCGGCTGCGCTGAGATGGACACACGCCCCCTAGGGGCTCGGAGGTTTACCAGGGACGTAACCACGTGCTTCTCGGGTGGAGAAAGGAAAAGGTCATCCGCGCATTTATTCAGCTGGTGATGATTACTAGGCGTCTTCTAAGACTAGGTCTGCGCGCGCACACACAAAGACAGGCTCACTGACCTCAAGAAGCTCCCTTTAGCAGACTATAATCTAGGGCTTAAGGACTCTGCGGATCTGGGCTGGCTTTCTAACTGTGACCTTGGGAACAGTATAAATCAGTCTTAGCCTCCGTTCCCGCTCCTAGGCAAAGGTAATCGCACTTATTTCACCGGATATTGTGAGGGTTAGATAAGATAATGTAAGTAAAGTGCTATACCAGCCACACAGTAAGCAGAGAAATAAATTGTTAGTTTACAAATGATACAAATATAATAAAACCTAAGTTTTACCTGACCCTTTAGGTACAAGTATTCACACACACCCATGTCCCCACTGCTCCCTGTACAGACATCTATTTTTTTATTATTATTATTGATTTCAGAGAGGAAGGGAGAGGGAGAGAGAAAAAAAAAAATCAATGATGAGAGAGAATCATTGATTAGCTGCCTCCTGCATGCCCCCTACTCGGGATCGAGCTCGCAATCCGGGCATGTGCCCTGATTGGGAATCAAACCATGACCTCCTGGTTCATGGGTCCATGCTCAACCACCGAGCCACATAGGCCAGGCTAGACATCTATTTTATTGCGTACAGAAAAAAACACCAAAGCTCAAGCTCCCACCTAGCCCTGTCTTTCTACTCTCATTCCACTAGTCTCAGCCAGGCATATTTATCGTTAGTAACACATGCTTAATCCCTCCCTTTCCTCCATGCAGACCAAACTGTTTCACACCTCTATGCCTTTAATTATGCTTTTCATCTGCCTGCAGTGCCCTTCCCACCTTTCTTTACCAAGTATCTCGGGCTCATTTTTCAAGCTTGAGGAATACCACTGTGGAAGACTCCTGGGCTGATTACTACCCTACCTCTGTAATCTCAAAGAGCTCAATGCTAAGACCTAGCAGTGCAGATGGAGAGAAAGGAATAGTATAAAGAAATGTGCAGGAAACTGTCATTAGCAGAACTTGTTCACTAATTGAGTAGTTACAGAGAAGGGAACAGAACTACAGTGGGGCCTTGACTTATGAGTGTCCCGACTAACGAGTTTTTTGAGATACCAGCTGTCTCTCGACTGATTTTTTGCATTGAGTTGACAGAGTAATTTGAGTTAACGAGCTCCTTAATGAGCTCTGTCTCGGAACGAATTAAACTCGTAAGTCAAGGCCCCACTGTACCTAGAATAATCAGCATTTAGTCAGCCAATTAATTAACATGTGCTAGGCATCAGAGATGCAAAAAATGAATGGGACCATCCCTGCCCTCAGTTCTCTGACTGATGGGGAAGTAGACTGGTCTACAAAATGTCAACAGTATGAGTGCCCTGGCTGGGTGGCTTAATTGGTTGAGCATTGTCTTGTGCACCAAAAGGTTTCCGGTTCAATTCCCAATTGGGGCAGATGCAGGAGGCAACAAATCAATGTTTCTCTCCCTCTCTCCCCAACCCCTTTCTAAAATCAATAAACATATCCTCGGATGAGGATTTAAAAAAAAAAAAGTCAAGAGAGTGAGAAATGTGGCGTTAGAAGTATACACAAGTGGCAAAGAGAAGGAGTCCCAGGAAGAACTAGGGAAGGTTCCCAGAGTAACCTGCCCTTGAGCTGAGTCCCGAGTGACGGCTAGTAGTTCCATCAGGCAGAATTGAGTGGGGCTCAAGACTTAGGAATCAGCCCAGCCGGTGTCGCTCAGCGGTTGAGCATCGACCCATGAACCAGGTCTCGGTTCCATTCCCGGTCAGGGCACATGCCTTGGTGGCGGACTCTCTCCCTAGGTAGGGGGCATAGGGGGGGTGCAGGAGGCAGCAGATTGACGCTGTTTCTCTCTCATCAATGTTTCTATCTCTCTATCCCGCTCTCTTCCCCTCCCTCTAAAAATCAATAAAAACATTATTTAAAAAAGACTTAAGAATCAGATAGATGTGGGTTCAAATCCTGCCTCTGCTGCTTGCTAATCTCAGAAAACCTATGTTTTAAAAAAGACAATAGTACCCACCCCCTGGAATTGCTCTGAGTACTAACTCACATAACGTGTATGAAGTGCACAGCCTCAGTATCTCCTACGTGCTTAGTAAGTGGTCACTGGTATGTTCAGTATACTCCAAATTTATTTCTCCTTCTGTAATAGCCTATGTCCATTTTTGGCATTACTTATTCACTAAGCCAAAAGCCTGAGTGAAATCTTCAAGGTATCTTCATCTTTGCATTATTCCCCAGATCCAATTCATGTATAGAACCTGCAATTCCTGAATGTCTCTCAAATTAATCATTATCTCTCACCTTGGACCCCCCTAACAACTCCCTCAATGGTCTCTCTAACTTCCATTTTCCCTTTCAGTGTATTTCCATTCTGCTGGCCAAAGGTTTGCTAAAAAAAAAAAAAATTTTGGCCCTAACTGGTTTGGCTCAGTGGATAGAGCGTTGGCCTGCAGACTGAAGGGTCCCAGGTTCGATTCCAGTCAAGGGCATGTACCTTGGTTTCGGGCACATCTCCAGTAGGGGGTGTGCAGGAGGCAGTTGATCAATGTTTCTCTCTCATTGATGTTTCTCTCTATCCCTCTCTGTAAAAAAATCAATAAAATATATTTTTTTAAAAAATAAATAAAATAAAAATTAAATGAGCCCTGGCCAGTGTGGCTCAGTTGGTTGGGCATTGTCCCCTGCCCTGAAAGGTTGCTGGTTTGATTCTCAGTCAAGGCCCATGCCCAAGTTTCACTCTCAGGGTCTCGCTCTCACATTGATGTTTCTCTCTCTCTCTCTCTCTCTCTCTCTCTCTCTCTCAAAAAAAAAAAAAATCAATAAACTATTCTTTAAAAAATTTTTTAATAAGATCTCCAGCTTAACCCCTCCTTTCCTTCTCTTTCTTGACTGCAAAACTCCACTTCATCCTGCAAGGCCCAGTTCAAAATGTCCCTCTTGCCCTGGCTGGATTGGCTCAGTGGATACAGTGTTGGCCTGGGGACTGAAGGGTCCCGGGTTTAATTCCAGTCAAGGGCACATGCCTGGGTTGCATCCCAATGGGGGCATGCAGGAGGCAGCCAATCCATGATTCCCTCTCCTCACTGATGTTTTTCTCTCTCTCTTCCTCTCCCTTCTTCTCTGAAATCAATAAAAATATATATATATTTTTAAAAAGTCCCTCTTACAAAAAGTTTTCCCAGACCATGGCCATTTAGATTCCTGGTCAGGGCACATACCTGGGTTTTGGGCTCGATCTCCAGTTTGGGACATGCAAGAGGCAGCTGATCCAGTGACCTTCTCACACCGATGTTTCTCTCTCCCTTCCTCTCTCTCTAAAATCAATTTAAAATTTTTTTTAATATATTTTATTGGTTTTTTACAGAGAGGAAGGGAGAGAGACAGAGAGCTAGAAACATCGATGAGAGAGAAACATCGATCAGCTGCCTCCCGCACATCTCCCACTGGGGATGTGCCCGCAACCCAGGTACATGCCCTTGACCGGAATCAAACCCGGGACCTCTCAGTCCGCAGGCCGATGCTCCATCCACTGAGCCAAACCGGTTTTGGCGAATTTAAAATTTTTTAAAAGTTTTTCCAGACTCCCTGACTGCTAGAGGCTCCCTCCCCTAGTCTCTTCAGCCCCCTTGGAGACCAGGCCTCCCTTTATACTATACCTTTCTGTTTATGTGTCTGGTTATGGCCAGGACTGGGAGCAACTCAAGCACAGGGAGGGGATCTAATCTTTCACTTATCCAGTACAACTACCCAGGCCACAATACCCAGAGGAGACTACCCTCCCCCCCCCACTCTCAGCCCCATTTGGGGTGGTTTTGGACATCACGTCTGTACAAGGATGCCCACACAGTTGCAGGCGCTGACCTGTTTCTCCCTGTCCACTCCCATATACTTCATCGTCCCGGAAAAGCTGGCCCAGTTTCTGGGAAAAGACATAGACCCATTAAAAAACACACACACACAACAAATACATAATGCGGATTGTTAAACTCAGACTCAGCCACTTCCCAGCTTTGTGATTTGGGGTAAGTTTAGCCTCTCCAAGCCTCCATTTTCTCATTGTAAAATGATGGTGATGACAATATCTGCTTCATAGGATTGCTCTGAGTACCTTACTGTCTAGTTCAAATCTCACCCATGACCCAAATATTACAGATGAGAAGCAAGATCAGACAGGGTGTGACTCAGCCAAAGCCTCACTTGGCTAGTCTACAGGAAATAGATGAGGTTTTCTGGTGGAAACTTTTGGACAGTCATCCAATCTAAGTGTTCCCAGACCTAGCTGCCCATCATAATCACCTGCAGCACTTGGAGGGCAGAGAGTCTAGTCCAGGGGTGGGCAAACTTTTTGACTCGAGGGCCACAATGGGTTCTTAAACTGGACCGGAGGGCCGGAACAAAAGCATGGATGGAGTGTTTGTGT